TTGTGCCAGCGCTGTTAAGGATAACAGCCAAATCTACCATGAACGCGTGCCCCCACTTGAGGATCTTGAGAAAATAGAGGGTAGGTGGTGTTTAGGATGTCTTTTCCTTCATCTCCTTAGTAATTTGTCAAAAAATTGCCATGATCGACTTTTTTAACAAGGTCATGGTTCTGTTATCTTTTTTTCCCAATCTCATTCAATTGTTTTTATTCCCAAATTTATTATTATTAATGCCCTAGAAAGAAGTAGTGCGGTTCAAATAAACTGCCCATTGATCGTAGCCCTTGATAATGTCATTTCAGGTGCCTGTTTGGCCAAACCATCAGCTTTTGATCACACCGATCCTGCCGTTATCGGTGAGGATATCTTCAAGGATCTACTACCAATTGAAACACTGGAAGCCAGTTCTGTATACAGGTTTGTATGTGCAGTAAACTAGTCGTGATAGAAGGCCGTTGTAGACTTCAAATTGGCTTTACTAATTTGTTGGTGTCAGGCTGTAGCCTTAAACCTGGTTATGGAGTAGTTTTGCCCTCCTCCCATTACTGGGAATGTTCCTAACTTTGACGGCAAACGATAGCGTTTAGTTCTAATAAAATCAGTGCGTATCGATGCTCAAATCACACCTTTCCTCAAATGTGACTCATTAATTCAGTCATTTTTCATGTTTCAGTGAGATGAAGGCTGACTTTCTCCGAAATATTTTGACTGAAGTGGAGAAGAAGGATTCGGAACTAGGGTAGGTTTGCTCCTTTGTCGTAGGTAGCTGTTTTATGGGTGAAGAAGACGCCCCACTGTCTCCTGTTTGCAGTTCTCTCCTTTCGAGCCTTAATCTGGACCCCAAGGAGCTGCTCAAACCGGATTTGGGTCTGCCGCAAGCGCTACTTGACCACTGCGCCAAATTCAATGCCTTGGATCGGTCACCAGAGAGTGAACTCTCCGCTCAAATGTCTGGTGAGTTTTTTTACAATCACAGTGATGATCTTGTGTAAGCCCTCCCTTTGTTATCAATCCGAAAATTCACTGAATTTCAAACCTCCTTGTTCTACAAAGTTAAGCCCACGTTGGAAAATTCCTGTCAAAGATCGTGGGACAGTTGGCTATTATCTTAGATCATGGTGGAGGAATCTTTCTGCAAGTTCATTTGGATTGCCTCGTTAGGGACTATGGCAATTATCGAGTTCATCACCACTGTCACATATATGTGGCGTTCCAATTTCCCTATTATATTCCGATGCAACAAATCTGTGATAATTTGTTACACGTAATCATGCTGCTAATAGATTGTTTGGGCTTGAGGATTATAACGTTTGACACCCTTTTGAGTTGCACAACCTCTAATCCAAGATACCTTTTGTGGACTTTGGTGAAATGTGTTCTTCGGAGAACAGGAGTAACAAACGTGTTAGGCGTTTTGCGTTGTTTGAATCAGGGCAAAAAAAACTGGTTTGAAAGCCTTCCAGCGTGACTCCTATTTCTCACTATTGAACTTATCCACCGTTTTCGCAATTGCGGATCGGGTGTTCCCCGAAAGACCTCGGTGTCAGCTGACCCATTTAAACGTAAGCCTGCTTTATCTCATCGAAGTCACCATATTGTTCGCAGTATGAAAAATGTAGGGTGCATTCCACTCTTTCTCTCAAGGTAGTACCCAAACTACTCTTGTGGGTGTGTTTTGGAATCTACTCTAGTTTTTTTTTCTTTTTACTTTGATTAGAACCTGCATTTTATCAAGACATGCTCTGCACTCTTTAAGTTAGAACTTTTTCCGAAACAATTTCCTATCTTTTTATGCACTTCAGCTCTGGTCGATGTGAGTGTTGATGTGGAGGCTGATTTGGAGGAACTCTCCACCGAGATTCAAGTAACTCAAGAGCGTCTCAACGGAGTCCTAGTAAGCAATAACTTATGGCCCTGCAACTCCTCCTCTACTACCTTTTTTTCATCAAAATTCACTTATCAAGATTTGAGGAGCTCTGCTTAATGCCACTTAATTCATTTCGGAGGTAGCAATTATTGGGGCGAGGATGTAGTAGGCATTAGAAACACCAACCTCACCTACAGCCCAGATTTGGCATGTGGTTTAATTTCACACGAGAAGTGGGCAGTCCCTTCTTCTCGTCTCTTTCTACTGACACTTCTTCAGTAGATATTACCCCTTCCCTAGCCCATAGCCCCGGCCTCCAAGACGGACCCGGTGAAGGAGAAACTGACCAAGGTGGCTGAGCGGCAGGAGAAATTTGCCCTTGCGGTGAGCGAAGCCAAAGACTCCAACACACGATTACACGAGGCCCTTACGGGAAATCTGAAGGCTTTACACACTCTCACCCTCATGCCGGATGAAATCGAAGCCGGCTTACCCAACGCAAATGACCTTATCACAGGTTGGCCATATTTTCCCCTTGTTTTTTTCTCATGAATTAAGTGATGATCGGTTATTATCCGATTCACTGAAGACAGCTATTGGCGCAGCTCTCTGTTCTCTACAAAACCAGTTCCCCAATCCGAATTCATCTGCCACAAAGTCATGTAGAGCTTTATTGTTTATGAGACGAGGAGGATGTCATTTTAAATAATAAAGTATGCTTATCGCCAAAACTTGCTGGTGAGGAACTGAAGGTCCCGCGTTTTGCTTATATCGCATATTCTTATCGCATCTACTTTTTGGAATATCCTAGACACGAAATTGCTGGAGGGCCTAGATGAAGCCGCACGAATTCTCTCAAAGGTGGAGGAGATGCGAGCACAGCGAACTAAGATGCTGGAGGATCTGCGAAGTGCTCTGCAGGCGGACGATGCGACACAAGAACTCCTTGCCGCTGCCGATTCCACCGACCAAAGTGCCATCTTCCAACGCCGCCTAGACGCGCATCACGAGACCGTTAAACTCATTCATCTTAATTTGGCTGCACAGGAGAACATCACCAGGGCTCTTATTACAGCACACGCAGAGGTCGGTGTGAAGAAATACGATATCCTGGAGCGCAGACGTCAGTACGTTGATTTTGAGTCTTGTCGCCTTCATCAATCCTGGGGTGGTGAAGCAAATGCCACTCCGCTACGACGTATCATTTCGCATTCTTCTTCATCCTAACCTTTACTACTCTATCTGCAGACGTACTGAGGAGATCGACGCCCTTGTTCGCTCTGGCGAGGCGTACGACGAACTGCTGCTGAAATGCGGTGAGGGACAGGCGTTCTACCGTGATATTGGCGAGCGTCTTCAGACGTTGCGCTCCGAGCTGGAACAGATTAACACCGCCATTGCGCGTCTCGAGCCGAAACAGGCCACCCAGACAACAGTACCCGCTCAGTCTGCGTTCTCCTATTTGCAACCTCGTTTGGGTAAGGAGTAATATAATTAAAAAAGTTAAGTAGAGCATCATTTTTTGCTTGTTGAAGGGGAGTAGAATCACTAACTCTCGATCCTCTCTTGGCGCACTTACCCCCTAGCATCCCTAGTGCTGGTCCTTCTTAAACTTCTATTTCTATTACTTTTTGATCAAGGTAGTTGATCGACCATTCACTGACACTGAACCCTCGGTCCAGTTCTGGTCCTACTAGTTTATGCTCATTTACAGCAGTACCCCAAGAGAAATCAAATCCAGTGCGTCCACCCACCCTTCGGGACGTGCTACGAGCTCGGAGCTCAGCGGGCGAGGCCAAGGTCAACCCTACTCAAGTGCTACCACCTCCTGGACCGGGGAGTCAACCCTATCAGCAACCACCAGCGCAACAGCAGAACGTCAATTCACCGAGACCGGTAATTGCTTTGTAGACAACACGTTTTCCGTGTTGGCTAACGTCTTTGTTCTGTGACACATTTGGTAGGCTATCAGGTGCTAAAAACAGTGATTGGTAATATTACCTCCATTTTTATCGGTTTATCACCCGTAATAGTCTTAGAGGCTCCATTCTTTCTATCGGCACCTTATGGAAGAGTGCTTCCAGGTTCTCCACCTGGGACAACGATTGCTCCAAACTAGGAATTCTTTTTACGAGCTGGTATCTTTTTTCAAGAATCGCCTTTGCTATAAAGGCTATTCTTTCCGCTTGTTCGAACTTATTTTCGTGAATACTGCTGTCCAAACATGGTTTTTTTTCTGTTTTTTCCTGTTTTAAGGATCGCTAAGTGGCGGGATGCTCCATCGCCGAACTTTATTCTGTCTTACACACCACTGAACAAACAAATAGTTAATGTTGTCGCCCTATGCCATAGACTTGGTTGAGTTTGTATGGTGCGTACTGCACAATTTGCATGGGTTAACAAAGCCTAAAATGGAAGTTTAGACATAAAGTGTTACGTCTGAGTTATTCCCTAGGATGCCGTGACACGAACGAGTTGGAAGGTAGGCCAGTGGTTCAGAGCATACAGGTCAAATGTTCGATTAAATTCGACACCAGTCTATAAGGTAACTAAATAGTAGCGCAGTCTCTATCGCAAGCAATATTCTTTTTTCAGTTATGCACAATCTTGCTGACAGTAACACTTTCATAAGTATTTCGGTCTCTGTAGACCAAGGGATAGTCCAACCGCTCCCTCTATTTTTGTAGTGACGTATTTTTCCATGATCAAAAAATAGGGAGTTTTTCTGAAGGCGATACCTTTACCTTCTAGTTATTTGTCACCAGAGGCAGATTGTTTTAGCTAGCCTTGGACGATTCATTATGCTACCGCGCCTTCTCCAGATCCTACACCACAAAGTTTACTAAATTCTGTAGCTTTGAAGCCGAATCAGAGTTGGTCGGTAAATCAGGCAAATTTGAATCACACCCATCAGGTTCAGTCGACACTAATGCAAGAACCCATAGTCGCATGGAAATCACTGAGGTCACAATCATATCTTTTGAAGCCCTTGTGAGTTACGAGTTGTACCAAAATTGCCATAGGCTTGTCAGGTCATCTTATGCTACAATCGCTTGAGCTTTTTTGCGTCTTAAGTAGTGATTTTACCCCTTTAAAGCTCTTTAAAGGATAGGTTTTTGATTATTTGATTTACCTCATTTTTACTCGCAATATATGTTGCTTTGAACTACTGACATTTGGAGGTCATTATTACAGCACTTTTGATGAGTCATTCATGAGTGCTGTGTGCTTTTGAACCTAGACTCAACCGTCTACAGCGCCGTATGCTGTCATCCAATCACAGGGTGGCATACCACAGGGTCAATTTAAACCCCCAGGTTCAACTTCGGCGCCGCAGCAGTATTCTGGACCCTACTACCAAAGTCCATATCTGGCGGGCATTCAGTATCTCTCTCGTTCACCTGTCCCACCTTCCACTTATCAACCGCAACAACAGCAACAATCACCTGCTTTCGTTTATCAGCAACAACAGCGATCTCTGGTTCCGCAGTCTGCTCCTCAGCGTCCAGTTCTGCAGTACCTGATGTCTGGATATCAACAAATCCCCAGAATGCCAACTCCACGGGGTCAGGGGCCGACACAAACAGGTCAAATTCCGCCATCTGGAGTTCAACCAATGATGCCAAACCAGTACAGACCTTCAACTCCGGTCCAATCCTATCAATCACCCCAACCGGATCAACAACAGATACAAAATCTACCATCTGGAGTTCACCCAGCTATTTCGGGAAAGTTGAATCAACAGTATACAGCCTCAATTCCACCTCAAGCCTATGCGTCAACTCAACTAGGTCAACAACCCGTTCTTCATCCAACTTCTGGTGTCCAACGAACTATTCCAGCAATGCCGAACCAACAACAATACAGAACTCCGACCCCTCCATTGCAAATAAGTCAACAAGCAACTCATAATCTACTGTCTGGAGTTAATCCAGCTATTCCAAGGGCTTCATATCAGCAACAGTATGGAGCTTTAGTTCAAACTCAAACCTATTTGCCAGCCCAATCGACTCAGAATCAACCTTCTGGAGTCCAGTCAGTTGTACCAGGGACATTGAATCAACAGCAGCATGGGTTTTCAACCCCAGTCCAATCCTATCCGTCATCCCAACCAGGCCAACAACCGATTCAGAACCAATCATCTGGTGTTCAACTAGGAATGCCCAATCAGCCAATGATATCACAGCAATACAGATCTCCAAACACAACCCAGGTCGGTTCGCCTTATGTTCAGAGGGGACCTCTTTTTGGAGCACCGATCCAGGGGCAGCCGCCGTATGGGCAGCAATATCCCCAAGGGATGCCTGTTCAGCAGCCTAGAGGCGCCGCTCCGGTCTCCCAACAGTACTACGTGGCACCACAATACCCCTACACTCCTCGTGGCTATCAGCAAGGTGTGACCTACGATTACGGGTCCTACGGTCAAAACCAAAATATACCAACCGCCCAGCCACCAGCGGTTCCGCAAAATTCGAATCAACAAAAACAGCAACAGTCAGAGCATGTCCCCGTAGCTTCACAAAACTTAACTGAAAATGTCATTGCTGGCGTTGTCCCATCTGCTAGTTCATTAATTCCACAGCCGGTAGCTTCAGTGCCAACTAGCCAGGATGTTGTAAAGGAGCCTCCTCCAAATGAGGTATCCCCATCAACGGCAGTGGGCTGCCTGCCCAAACCCGTTGCGTCGTTGGAGGCGAGGAGAGGTTCTGACGTGGACGAGGTGGTCGGTGCTGCCCCAACGGATCTCGAGAAAGCACCAATCTCTCCCCATGTACTCACTCAGGTCAGTAGATGCCAGTGATGCGTTGTTATGGGGATGGCTGATAAGCATTTTTTTTTTCATTGCAGTGACAGTTAATTGCTAATCACGGCTACTTTTGATGTTGGTTGTTGAAAATTGTGGTTTGATTCTCCAGTAGCACCCGAAATGTTGGTGTAATTGACGTGTGAAAAGTGTTTCGTCGCTGGAATGCTATTTGTTCGCGTACACATGAAGTGAATCTGATCTTGTTTTGACTTTCGTCCTCAGCAGGCACTCATTCTCCGCCCATCACAGTACCGTTCTAACGGACCAGAATCGGCTGAAACAGAAGCGAAGATCGTATGGCTGTTTTAAGTCACTCAAGCTTAATCTCGTCCCATTTCTGAGTGTTAGGCAAGATTCGAGACTTGTGTAATTGGCGAAAGTGGGTGTAGTCTCGGTGGCCCCTCTGTTATGAGGCTTCAAGGATCTGTCGTCCTTAAAAGATTCCTTCCTTCCATGACACTTAAGCGCATTATCCAACTGGCAAAATTTGCCTAGATATTCCTTTGCAGTGGGGTTCAACTTACTTCTGAAGTTATTCTAGGGGTGCCAGTCCAAAAGCTACTTAATTACAGATGTACTGAAGTCGCTGAAGGACTTGTAGCATAGGAATGGCGGGAGGTTGAAAGTCGACCCATTTGTAGCCAAATCGCGCTTTATTCTATCTTCATGCCTCAATAGGTGCTTCATAATAACCATGCTTCATGCCTTTAACACTGTACTAAGTGACCATTGGCGCTTTGATGTCTGCTTGGTGTTTTCTAGCCATTTCTAACAAAGGCCTCTTTGAATACTATTTTCTTTACCTAAATTAATTTTATTGAATGCGTGAAAAATGCAGTTGAATGGTGGTTTCCCACTTCTAACACACAGGCAGAGATGCCTATTGCTTGCGCTGTCTGGATGTGCATTTTAGGCAGATCTAGAGATCCAGAGACGCGAAAAGCAGCTGCGAGCAACCTACGAGGCACCAGCACCTAGTCTTGTTGACTGTGTCACAACTAAGAGTAAGGGTGAAATCAACACAAGCACTACCACCACGTCAAATTTGCATCCCGATCCGCTATCTGATCCTCTTGCACTTAACCGATTTATCGACGCAACAGAGCGTCTACTCACTTGGCTAGAGACAATGAATGATCCATGTAAAGCTGATGATGGACCACTTCACCCTCCATTACCATCATCATCACGGCCACTCAGTCGTCTTGATCAGGCATGGTCACGGGTGAAGGAAATTGCGGCTAGTGCGACTAGCAAGCGACCGACACAAGCTGCTGGCCGCTGTGGCGCGGCAAAAAATCGACGCCAAGAATGTATTCCCTACGATTCTAATCGCGTTCAGTTGAAACGTGATGCTCTCTGCAAAAAAGACGACTACATAAACGCCAGTCACTTGGATTTCGCATCATCCCTCGGTGAATGGTGTCCTCGATACATTCTAACTCAGGCTCCTCTTCCTACCACTGTCACAGATTTTTGGAGTATGATTTTCGATCAGGCCTGTGAACTGGTGGTACTAGCACTCCCTCCCCGTAGAAGAACTTCTCTCCTTCCTTCCAGTCTTGATCCCTCTGAAAGCTATGCAGAAGGGGCATATGGTGATCTTGGAGACAGTCTTAGAGTTCCTCCTCACCTTCCTCCACTCAAAATTGGCTCGCGGCTTCAAATCGGTACTGGGGACTCCGCTTTCGAACTCCGTCTTCAAGCCGTGAAATTCACTCGTTCCGACGCCCTCTCCCAGCATCCACCCACCGTGGATTCAATCTCCCAATCCACCTGTATTGAGCGTATCCTAACCCTACGAAATTGCGATAGCCAACAGACTCGCACAATTGTCCATCTCTGCTACTCTGGCATGGCACCAACTTCAAGTGATCCCAATTCCATTGCCTCATTCACTGCATTCGTTCAGACAGCTATAGGGTTCTATAAACAACAGAGGAGCCTTATGCATCCCATAGCAGTAGTCTCAGAAGACGGTGGAGGGCTGGGAGGTATGTTTGTTGCCGCGTCAGCAGCTGTACTTCACGTTGAAGTTCTTGGACGGATGGGAGATGTCAGTGAGTTGGTTGGATGTCTGTGTCAACAACGACGAGGAGCTTACAGCCAGTCTGAACAGCTGGCGGCTACGTGTGCTGTGGTCGGACTAGCTGCTAAGCAGTCTCTAGCTCGGAGGGATATTGTCGTCGGGCCGACATCAAGCAGCATCCGAAAAGCCTGTAGTAGCGGTGGTGATACAGCATTGCTGGAGAAGATGAAGCAGAAGAAGGCGACGTCCACAGATGTACCACAGACGGAGACGCAAGATTTTACCACGTCGTTATTTTCTGATCGACATCTGCAGCTGTCTGAAATGATGTCAGCGCTGGGATTTGCTCCTACTCCTGCTCCTACCCTTCCACAGGTTCGTTGGCTCCCACGGTTTTTCGAGTCCCTTCCAGGAGTGTACGGGTGTATGTGCATGGATTGTTTGTTTTTTTCCTGTGAGGCATGCGCTCTAATGAGGATTTTCTCTGTGGCATCGCTAATTCACTTTGACTTGCGCTAATCACTTTATTTTTGCAACCAAAATATCATGAGGAGTTAAAGCCAACTCTCATTTGTTCTACGTGTTCCCTCGTTCAGCCTCCAGAGGAGTTGAAAGTTCAGCCTCCAGATGCAATTCCTTCGGCAACGGTAGCAGAAAGCGGAGGTGGAAGCAACGGCGTGTTCGATGATTTGCCTTCGCATTTGGTGAATCTCTCTTTGACCGAGGGCAGCGCTAATGGATCCCCAACTGCAGGACATAACCGTCGTCACTACCAGGCGCGAGATTTTGTTGACAAGGCCTACAAGGAGTCGCGTGACAGTCTATCCGCCGATCCCAGTATCTTTGGCGACTTGAATCCGCTGCATTCGCAGTCACAACCTCCTGCCAGTGACCATTGACTGCTGCTGTGATGATAATGCTGCTGTACGACAACATCGCTTAACAAGATTTGATAATTTGACAAAATAATTTAACTGACATTAGTGTCGATCTCTGGTTGGCTAACGTGCACCATGAATTCCTACTTTGCAAAGAGAGTAATACGAATTCGAAAAGTTCTTTTTGGCTCGTTGGACTATTTCTGGAATGTTTTAAAAAGTGCTGGTCCATCCGGGATCAGATGGCTCAAAACTATTTGTTGTGCGTTGGGTGAGGAGAAATATTCGTGCGGTTTTCGGTTTATCACAGCGTAATGGTTTGTTGTGCCTCCTAGAGACTTCCTATAATCCATCCATTCCAGTTATGCGTCAGTCTTTTGGTACGGTACTCCATCGTCCTCTCTGCAACTTTCCTCTCATTTTAACTTCCTTACCCCTCATATTCATAATATGTTGGCTGAATATGGTATTGTTGACTCAAATTTGTCCGCAAAATATTCGGTAGCGAAGCTATGTACCGTCCAGAAATGGTTGAAGACAATTTGATTCTGGTGCTGCTAAGATGGAGGCCTGGCGTTGCAGACTGTCGTATCACGGGTTAAGGTGTCTTAAAAATCTCGAGGGAAGGAGTCATGGAAGCCACTAAGTAGGTCTCACCAACATGCATCAGCGGAGAGCCGTAAGCTTGGAAATTCCTGGTCTTCCCTGTTTCTTTCACCTGCGTTGTGTGAATTTGTCTTTTTCCCATCGTTTGTTGACTGACTCGTGATGCTTGTGGCATTGTTTTTTCCCTACACAATCTACTACCCGCCCTACGAGACTGCTTGCCCTGTGGACGTCACTTTTCACTATGATTCTTCATCGAGCGCCAGAATCGACAATTGCAGTTGGGATCCATCCACCCCCACATAGCTCTTACGTGGGAAAGAAAAGCCTTGGCGCCTTCAGGAGGAACTGGAACTAGCCAATCCTTTGGAAGAAAGTCTTATTCAGGCTTCATACCTTAGATCACCTTAACTGCGGGAGGATTTGCATCATTTAGGGTGGGTGGAAGGGAAATATTACTTCAGCTCCATCCTCCTCATACCCTTAATGATATTGCTACAGCAATGTCAAGAGACGCTGATTTTATTCAGCTTTTGTTAAAACTTGATTGATAGTTCCTCGAATTGTTTAGCCTATGCCTTACGATGATAGATCATTGAACCTAGCCTGTGTTTAGGCCTGGAAAACATGGTAATACCTTCGTCCTAAGGTCTCCTTCGATTCCACATTTTCATGTTAGTTATGGGGGCATTGAGTGGGTCAGAATTCGTCATACAAGTTAGCTTCAATCTCAATCTCTCATTAGGTAGTGTCAACGTTGAATGGATTCCACACCTCAATCTGGTCTTCACTTCTTTCACCTTGCAATTCAACCAATCAGTGTTAGCCAAAAATTGTGGAACAATTTTTTGGGAGAAAGGGTGATGGGGATGCCTGAAACGCCAAGGCCCAACTAGCAGTCAATCCCTAAACATTCTAGGGCCGTGCTCTTACTTAGTCCTTCCTGATTGGCCAGCTAGAAGGTCAAGGTCAGTCAGCTGCTATGGCTACTCGAAAGTGAATCCAGTAGTCCTCACTAATCAACTTTCGGGCATGCAAGCGCTCACCATCGGTCATGCGTTAGTCAATGAAGCTATCTCTTCCAAAGCCTTCATCCATTGATAGGATCCAGACGTCTCATTTTACAGCAATTGTCGACACAGAGGCGGCGAAGAATTCGAACCTTGGATAATCATTTACATGGTTCAAGAAAAATTGGCAATTTGGAGTGCAGGGAATTCAAGAAATGGCTGTTGAATGCTTCTGAACATGCCTCATTCGTTGAACTAATCTTCCATACCTCTGAAGCTAAGAAGATCTTAGCCCTGATCATCTCCGATTTACAAAATATTCGTGGTTAATGTTTTGTTGATTGGGGATCATCTCGTGCCTCCATCAATCCCTATCACGTACGCTTCCTTTCGGCTCTCAGTCATGTTGGCAATGAAGGCGTTCGTTTTGAAGCCTTTATCTCTTGCTTACTTCGGTCGGGAGCCGTCCGTTGGTGCCCGTCCCCACACACCATTAAACGCCTATCAGATCGTAAGGGTTCGTGTTTCATTCTGTTGCAGCGTCACGATCTGTAACTTCCCAGTCCTTCGAGTCTGCAGAGGGTTAACTGTCCCCACAACTGTCACATCCAAGAATTTTCATATCCTATGTCAAAATGGCCTCGCATTTAGTCTACATTCTAAGCAATACCTTAGCGTTGATTCATGTGCCGCCGGATCAGTCGTGGGGATGGCTGCAGCACTGTGGTCCTGTCCTCGCTGGAGGCTACCGATACAATCGTGTAGGGGTTAAGGATCAATGGCAGATGCTTCAGATTAAAGGTCGACCAGTTAAAATATCTCGTCTTTTTTTGTGGGTTACAGTCATCCACCGACTCAGACATCCACACTCGTCTTCTGACTTTGTTTGAGCCCAATCTCCCCTTGACGATACAAACAGCAACCACCGAATTCGCCCTGATTTAGCCTGAAAGCAATGACAGTTTCCATATCCATGCTGTTCGTCACTCAACTCCATCAACCACAGACACTCAACCAACATTCCGATAGCGAGCATAATGACGTCAAGGAAAAAAGAATGCCTCCATCTGCCTGCTGAAACTGTGGGGCTTGGCAGTTGGTCAAGTACGGCTCCTGCAGACGATACGGGTGTTGCCAGTGCAACGCTGTTGGTTACGAAGATGGGTACCATTGAACCCGGCCGTCCAGCCCCAATGGAGACACTGCCAAGCACGGAGATCGTGGGCAAAACATCTCGAAGAAGACCTTCAGAAAGATTCAATGTGATAAGTGATTTTTTAGGAGAACATACCCCTTCGTTGAAGGTTCATCGTCGTCCAGCTCAATGGTTGTACAGCGCGTCTACAACTGGCCACCGGTACCGATATCACTATCACTCGGGTGTCGATTTTGGAAACCACCAGCCAGACAGACAACTCAAACCTTCGAATTCGCTGGTGTTGGCCACATAGAGCTCCTAAAGCAACTTCATTGCTCGGTACCCTTCCGTGCTACATAACGAAGCCCGCTTGGTCTCTACTAGTTCGGCAAACTGGTCTGGAATGACTATGGATCAAAGCCATCTGCCACTGGATGCATCCACGTCAATATCCCCCAAACAGTCGGGTCTAATCGTCAAAAGGATTTTCTTAGCTCCTTTCCAACTTATTTACACTGTTTGGATCCGTGCGAGGATCACTACTGTATCCTCCAAAGCCCCCACTCATACCCAGAGGAGCCCTTGCCATAACCCTACCTCAAATTCACCGAACCAATCAATGGTAGATGCTTCTTCAAAGTGGTCGGAGGTAGCACCTGTATCCACTCCTCCTACAGTCACTAAGAAGCTATAAGTGCTGCGCCGAATTTTCAGCCACTGTGGGCTCCCAGAGACGTCGATCTCAAACACCGGAACACATTTCTTTTCCTGGGAATCCCATGCCATTGCGCATATTTGTTCTCCGCTCTTTCACTCTCAATCCAATGAACAAGCGGGGAGTTTTGTTGATATGCGTAATCAAATGAATCTGCATAAAACCACCAATCACCAGCTTCACTCGGATCAACGCATCGATGGATTCGAAATCAAGCAACAGCCCTAAGCAACATGTACTGGAAGTCTCGACGAGACTCACAACCAACAGTGATGTCTACACCTGACATCTGGATGAGACACCACAATCAACTACGTCTGTGATACGTCAAGGAACCAGCAGCTAAGATACCGCCTCCAACTGTAGACGCTACTACGCAGATCACCATCGATAAAAAGATCCATGTTGGACACAGTACTTCAGCAATTCATTCAAGACGTCAATTTTATACACAAAGCAGATATCCATTCATTTGGAAGAGAAGGGAGGCGCAAGTCATTCAGATCTTTACTGCAACATATATGTGCAGGAGACCCACACACCAGGTCGTTGAATCATATCGGCCCACTGTTGCGAGGCCCTATAGATCCCCGAATGGCCCATTCTCAGACCCCCGATTACAGCTTCTTGATTGTGCACGAGGATGTCAAAGAAGACAATTTGCAACTGCTCCTTGGGCACATTGAATGTGAACCGACTGTCCCACACTGGTTCAGCGGTTTCGGTTCTCACCGAAGTTCGATGGATTTTACCCACCTTCTCGGTTATTGCTACAGGCTCTTTACCGGAGGCTTTTGTCTTGGATCCCAAGCGTATTGATCCTACGGCCGAGAAGGGCGAGGACTTCTTGCAGATGCGCGTCTTCTGCTGTACACTTACCCACAACTGCATTAGACTGCCGTTCGGGGCGCGCATCTCCTTGCCTTTGATGATCTACAACATACAAATTCTGTTTGTCAACCATGGTCACTACTTCGGTGGCAGGGCTCTATACTCTTCCCAACTCTGCCTCTCAGCTCAGCCGTGGAAGGACCTACGACCAAGCTTCTAGGTCCCTTAATCCTTGTTAGCTACTTTACTGAACATCTCTTGTGGGTGGTTGCCTCTGTAGAAATTTCCAACGGAAGAAGTGTAAACCTCCG